CCAGCCTCCAGGGGCAGCGGCTATTCCTGGCTCCCTTTAATGTTCTCAATTTATTAGCGTTATCCTCCTTTTTTTCACGCAGGATAAAATAGAGATTATTTTTGTCCTCTCTAACAAAGAAAAGGAGCTTGAAGAAGAAGAAAAAAAAAAAACAACCCAACCAAAAACCACCCAACCCCAAAAAACTAACCTTCTGCATCGAGGCTCAGCCTCTGATTTTATGCCCAGAATTATTTGCAGGCGTAATCAGGTCCTGGGCCATCAAAGCGATGCTATCGACAGCACCGGGCTCACACATGGACCGTGTTAGCCCTGCGCAGCCCCAGCTCTTCGCAGCACCAGGCAGGTTTGATTTTTATATTTTTTTTTTTAGGTTTTACCAGCCTGCAAATCGTGGGTGGAGCTGGCGGGTGGCGCTTTCTCAGCTTCTCCGGCCCAAAATGGCCTTTGCACCCAGACTCAGGGACGTACGTCCTGGCCCAGCCCCGCTCTGCCCACCAAGGGCGAGTCGTTGCATCTGTGGAGGTTGTTTGGGTCGAACCCGACTCGCCTGGTCGTTTCTCTTTACGCTCACGGTGGATGCAGCCCTGATTTACCCACCACGAGGCGAGAAAAATCACGGGTTCAACCCCTTCCCTAAACCCAAGGATGAAGAAGCCTCCTGCCCACCTTCCTCACCCCGCGGGTGGTGGAGCATCAGCTCCCTACGAGCTCTTCTCCCGTGTGCATTAACCCCAAGGCCCCACCTGCCCCCGAGACCTCCCCCCATCGCAGCCAGCCCAGCTCAGGATCGCTCCTCGTACCCGAGATCCAACGCAGAAAAGCCAAAAGACGTGACCTCTCTCAAATTTTTGCAATAAATTGTGATATTGAGTGGTTGCTCTGCACTCCTGAGTGGGACAGAGCTGGACCCGGACGCGTGGCAGCGCCACAGTGTCCTTCAGCCCACGCAGGGAACGGCCTCCTCCTGCTCCGGTGGACGATCCCTGGAAGACCGGTGGCAGACGGAGAGTCCAGGACATCCCTGGACAACAGCCTGACGTCGGTGAGTTGTACCAAAAGGAGGTGAGTGAGTGCTCGTGGCAAAGCTCAGCTCCCTGGGGCCAAAAGCACAGCGGGGCTGGGATCGCCGCGGGGTTTGGAGACCGGCGTGAAGGCTGGTGAAGAGCATCTCCGGGTGAGGCCCGGAGACAGAGGATGCTCCGGCTGACCCAGACGTGCTTCCAGCCCCCCGGGGGATGAGGTTTGGAGGGGACGCCTCAGCCCCTTTCTAAAGAAACCTTGGTCCCCACCTCGACCCCACGAGAGAGCTCCCGTCAGAGCCTCTCTGAAGTTATCGGTGACCCTCAGCCCTGGCTTGCCAGGTGATGGACTCCGGGCTCCCTCCCTCTCTGTCCCTCTGTGGTTTGGTAGCGTCCCTCCTTTCTCTTTTTCACCTTCCTTTTCTTTCCAAAGTGCGAGCTTTGGCCCCGCAAACCATCTTCCCAGGCTCAGATCTGCTGAAAACAGCCCAGCACCAGGGACATTTCCCACCTGAACCAAAAAAAAAAAAAAAAAAAAAAAATGAGAGGGCGGAGGAGGACCAGGAGGGGAGGTAGGCAGAGGGGCTGGGACATGGTGGGAATTCAAATCTTCCATCTGGCGGCTTCTCACTAGGCTTTTTTTTTTGTTCTCCGCATATTTAAAGGTCTGAAATTTTCACTGATCTGTCAAAACGAGCGCTATAAAACCCCCAGCTAGCTGGAAAAGCCAAGTTATTGAAACCAGTTTGGTGACTCGTGACCTTTCCATGAAAAGTTGATATTAATATTCTTCCAAAAAACCCACTCACTGAAAGAACAAATTGAAATGTTTGAGGGGGGAAAAAAAAAATACTCTTGCTGCAAAACGTCCAAATCTGGGTAAGAAAGCCCGCTTGAGCAGTTCGGGGTGTTTAGACTGATCCTTCCTGCGGATCAAAGCTCATTGTGTTTCTCCTTTTGCTCAAGGATATCAGCAACAATACCAAACTTCACTTCCTTCGTCCAAAATCGTTCTCCAGCGAAATTAAACTTTTTTTTTTTTTTTAAAAAAAAAAAACCACACAATAAAAAAATTAATAAAAAACCAAAACCCAGGCAGAAGCCCGTGCCCCAGCTGGTGTTAATTGGCAGCGCCCCAACCCTCGGCAGAGCCGAGCCAGCTCCTCCAAAGCGCGGGATCGGAGGACCCTGGATCCTGCCGAAATCCTGCCCTCCCTGGGGTATTTTTCCCTCGCCCTTTGTTTTCTCTCGCTTTCCCAGGCCCCTGTGATCTATTGTCTTTCCGCGTTATGAACAGCTGATCTGAGTCGCTGTCTTGACAACGCTCGCGTGTGAGTAATGTGTCGAGCCGCTGCCCCGCTGGCACCGGTGAGCAAAGTCACCGCGCTCCACCCCAGCAGGTCTGAGCATCAACCTGTTCCTGAGCGGCTTTTACACCTTTAAGCAATATTGGGTGGGGTTTTTTTCCACACGTCGGCTCTCTGCTAGCTCCCATCTGTGACCACTGCTGTCCCTGACAAGCCAATGCGAGCGCAGGGAGGACGGGGCTGAGCCAAAGCCCTCTCAGATCCAAAATCCTGCGTCGTTCCGGTCTCCCTGGGCGATGCTTTGGGGTCGCCCAGCAGGATGGATGTTCAAGAGACACCTGTGGAAGACTGAAAACACGTTATTTCTTTAAAACAGAGTAAAGCCCGTGTAGGGCGGCTGCATCCTGAGCGAAACCGGAGCACCCGGGTGGGTGTGATTAGGGAGGCGAAGGGGTTGGAAGGGGTTTCGCTGGGAGCGCTGGCGGCCAACGGGCTCCCTGGCTGCTCAGCAAGGCTCGACAAGTCTACGCAGCTTGGTTTTAAGAAATACCTCGTGGCTGAGCCCAAATTGAGGTTTTTCTACCGAAAACTTAAGCAGAGTTGGCCCAATCACTTGCTCTTAGGCAGCCTCACCCCGAAGAGCATCGGGGCATCCTCCTCCTCCTCCTCCTCGGGCTGTAGGGAGCGGGTCAGAGGTTCCGGAGGAGAAGTTCAAGAGAAGACTGCAGTACGAGAGTGTAGGTTACTCAGGAGGAAGCGAATACTGACAAGATGAGAATATTAATTTTGTTATATGCAGCAAGATGACAAAAAAAAAAAAAAAAAAAAAAAGGTCGTTGCCTTTGAAAGGACTTTCTCCTGCAGCCTCCTGGTCATGCTCGGCCTGAGCTGCCGCAGCCCCATCACTGCCAGGCCGGGGGTGGGCGGGGGATCAGCACGGTGCCGTGTGGGAGAACTCTGGAGTACGTTACATATTTCTGTGAGTAAAATACATTATATATGGAAACTTGTTAGATGTGATAAAAAGGAGCCAATTTGAGACTATCTATACAGAGACAGGCATACATCAACTCAACAATTTATGTTTTATTGATATTATTTTAATTATTTTGATGAATCACTGCTACTGTTTTATACGGTGCCGTTCCCGTAATACCCCTTTGTGCTCTCATTTTAAGACAGAATGACAAAGTAAGGTTGCAGCAAGGGCTGTGGAGCTCTGCTGGGGATGGATCCCAATATCCCCAAGGAGCATCCTGCCAGGAATTCCGTGTCCCTCCAAAGGGACTCGGGGTGAGCGCTCCCAGGGACCAAGAGCAGGGAGCAATGCCAGGAGAGCCCGAGGAGCAGAGGCAGCTTGGATGAGGTCAAGAAACACCTCGGAGAGGCAGAGAGGGGAGATGGGAAGGTTGTGGGGTTCCCAAAGGTGTAGGAGCTCTTTGGGAGTTGGGTGGTTGGGTGCGGCAGGACGGTGGGTCGCCGAGGCACTCCAGTTCCATGTGTTGATTCTACCGGTGTGAGAACAGAGGGCTGAAAGCGACCTGATACAACCTGTGCAGGGTATTTTATGACTTGGTGGTCTGAAGCTGAACCTCCAACCTTGGCTGAAAGAGGATCCAGCTCTCCCAGGATTCCTGCAGGGAGGAGAAAGTGGGTCTATTTGTAGGAGCGGTGTAAGGAAGCGATGGTGCTCGATTTCCTGGGGAAATCAGGGGCTGAACTGCTGTGGGTCCAGCCAGGAACAGGGCCTGCACCTATGACACCCTCCCAATCCGCAATAGCTGCCAGATTTAATGGAGAGGAATATGATGGTGGGTGAGTATTGGCTTCCCTCTGTATAATAAGGGCTACTGTGGGCTGCCAGAGGATGGATGGATGGATGGATGGATGGATGGATGGATGGATGGATGGATGGATGGATGGACGGGCGGGCAGATGGATGGATGGATGCAAACGCGAGTTCATTTTGAATTATGCCATTTCTTGAGAGCAGGGTGGATGCCTATCGCTGTTGCTTCTTCCTCTGGGTTCAGAGGGTCCCTGTATCCCTCATCACTGCTCCACATCTCCACTTGAATCCCTCGTAGATAAAAGTCTCCTATTCCAAACTGAACAAGTAAATATTTCTGGCTGGCTTTTTGCGGGGTCAACGGGGCTTAAAAAAAAAAATCTTTTTTTTTTAAAAAAAAAAAGACTAAAAATCAAATAAAAAGCCTCCCCTGAACTCCATGGCTGGTGCTCACATTAGCATAGGCAATGTCCCCTGACATCCGGGCAGCAGGCAGGAGCATCTGTGCCGGAGGGCTTGGGGGTGTCGGTGGAGGAGGGAGGGAGGAAATCTGGAACCCATAAGCTCCACTGATGTTTGCGTTACCTTGCACGGCTGCATTGGTCTGTGCCTGGTCCGCCCACGGTCCTCCTCACCCTATCAGCAAGAGCCATTCCCCAAAGTTATCCGAACGCCCTCCTCTCTGTAGCCCAAAGGAAAAACCAACGGAGCTCCTTGGAGGGCTCTGCGAGGCTTGGGAAGTTTGGGGAGGCTGAAGGGTGGATGCTCCAGGCTGCACCTCTCGCGCGGGCGCTGGCTGCTCTCCAGGCCGCCTTGCCGATGCGCTGTGCCCGCCGCATCTCGTGAGACCCCGGAGCCCTTCGTCTGCAAGGTGACGAGAAGATGAAAGAGGAAAACATGTGTCCGGACTCCCCCGAAGGCAGCCTGGTCACCAGCGAGGAGGAAGGCGAGCGGCTGCACAAGAAATGTCTCCGCAAGCGCGGCCAGGGGGGCAAGCTGGCAGAGGACAGCGGCGCCCCCTCGCCGCAGGGCAAGCGGAGCAAGCGCAGCCCCGTCCCGCAGTCCTTCGAGGACGTGCACACGCAGCGCGTGATCGCCAACGTGCGGGAACGCCAGCGGACCCAGTCGCTCAACGACGCCTTCGCGGAGCTGCGGAAGATCATCCCCACGCTGCCCTCCGACAAGCTGAGCAAGATCCAAACCCTCAAGCTGGCCGCCCGCTACATAGACTTCTTGTACCAGGTCCTGCAGAGCGATGAGCTGGACCACAAGATCACCAGCTGCAACTACCTGGCCCACGAGAGGCTCAGCTACGCCTTCTCCGTCTGGAGGATGGAAGGGGCTTGGTCCATGTCCGCATCCCACTGAGCCGGGGTATGTACCGACACCTCCCCGCCGACACGTCCCTCGCTCCTGCATCCTCCGCGCATCTCCCCAGCTCGCTCCTGTGGGGGAAACGCACAGCAGCCGCCCCCTCCTCACGCTCCACGTGCAAACGATTTGCTTTAACGAACCCCAGACGCCGCCAAGGCCGGCGGTCAGAGGAGGTGGCGATTCCCAACCTCACCGGGGCCGGTGGGACGTCGCAGGGGGCCGAGCAGCGGAGCCCTAAAGCGACTGATCTCATTTAGCGGGGTCTGCTCTGGGGCAGGCTAGTGAAAGGTTTAAAATGAGGGCTTAAAAAAAAATCTGATTTATCCTCTCACGGTAAGCCAGGAGGGCGCGTAAATCAGCAGACGCCCTCCTGGAAGTGCTGGGGTTACCGAGGTGTCGAAGCCGCACGAGCGAGGCCGGCGGCGGCCCCGCAGCCATCGCCCGACGGCTGCTGCGGCTCCCGCCGTGCGAAGCCTTGTCCTGGCCACCGGGTCCAACTCGGTAGCCATTGCTTGGAGCCATTGGGTGGCCCTGGGGCCTCCAGCCGGCCAGGTTTTCTTTTAGCCCTCTCCTAAAGCGCTGCAGATAAAATGGGATCCGTAATCCCTCCCGATCTGCAGAGAATAAAATGTTGAGCGAGGATGCCGGGGTGCCGATGTTCCTTGCGCTGCACCCCTCGTTCGAGGTACTCAGCACCGTCCAGCCGCCACCTCAGAGTCTTTTCAATCACTGGCAAAGCTGCTGAGAGGGAGATAATCCTGGTTTTGGTGCTTTAGGTCTTGTTGGGCTGGGAGAAAGGGCGAACGGGGGGAGAGGGTCAGCTGCGTGCTAACACTTCCTGCAGCCCCGTGAGCAGGAACAGAAAGCTCCAGAGGACAGACCCAAGCCGTGGACTTTGGGGACATTTCATGGGAGCCCAGCCCAGGTCCCAAGAGTCCCCATTTTCCCCAGAGCAGCACCAGGGCTTCTGACTTTCCTTGGGCACTGACTCATGAACCTCCGCCTCGTGTCAGCCCTGGCACCGGAGGCGAGGGACCGCCGCGTCTTCTGGGGACGCCAACTGCAAACGGACTCTATTTTTCTTGCACCCACCACTAAGAGCTACCCACAAAAGACCCTCTTATCATTTTTTTCTGCCAGGAATTGGCGTCACCCTCCTTTGTGCCATTTCTCCTCCTGGCTGGTCTTACCACAGTCCCGATTCCGCGCAGGGACCCGGGTGCCTGTGCCCAGCCGTGGTCTCCCTGCCTGCAGAAGCAGCAAATTTATAACACGAGAGAGTCCGGCCACTGTGATGAGAAGTGTTGAGAGGGTGCAAGACCCTATTTTAAGCCCTGCTGACCCCCATCTGGGGCAGAGACTGGTGTGAGATCGCTGGTCCCCGCCTCATCACAGGCACAGCCCTCCGAGGACGACCGGCTCCCAGCGCCTTCACCTTCAGGCTACGTCTGGGGGAAGCCATGGTGCAAAAATTTATCTGCTCTCTGCCCTGGTCTCACATTTTGAAAGGCCGGAGGGAGAGGGAAAGGGAGGAAAGTGACCTTTTTGAGACAAAAATACATCCTAGAGAATTTCTGCAAAGCGGCTCAAGGGATGCCAGGGTTGTGAGGGGCCCTCTGGCACGGCTGGTGTCCCCCCACCCCGAGCACCGCTGACCCTTCTGCCGTCGGGTTTTGCCACTTCACAGCCCCGAATTTCAGCTCAGATCCGCAGCTGGAGGTGCAGGCGCTGCTGACCAGCTCCCAGGGGGGGTTTCACCTAAGGGTGTGCCACATTTAAATTCTCATTTTCCTGCAAGCCTGGCTGAGATCTTTTCCAACCAACAGGAACACTGCCAGTTTTCTTAAACCTGTGTTTAACCTCAATTATTTGGGGCAGACCTGGTTGTTTAAAAAAATGAAAGAATGAAAAGACCGTCCTTGCTGGAAGAGGGATTGCTGCCCCTTAGCCACTGCTGGGTGCCCCCCAGGACCCCTTCCCCTGCGGGACAGGCAGAGCGAAGCCTGTGGGCACTTATTCTCACTTTGAGAAGTTGAAAAGCTGCCAGGGACAGTCGGGGTGTGGAGCCCTGCGAGAAGAGCAAGCCCGTATTCCCCCCCAGAGCCTCACTCACCCTCTCCTGGGCATCATGTTTTTGCAGCCCTGCGAGTTTTCCAGCGTGCAGCCGGGTTATCGTGGGTTTTTTTTTGGAGGGGGGGGCTCGGGGTGCTCTGTGCACGCTCCCGAAAGAGCTCGGCACGGCTTTGCCCCGCTCCTGAATTCGCGAGAGAGGTGGAAGGAGCTCGCGGGTTTCTTCGGTGGGTGGTTTGTAGGAGCTTCAGCGCTGTGTTGGCCTGGTCCGCGCTGAGGAGGTCTGTGCGCTCCGTTAAAGCCCAGCTAAAGGCATTTTCGCCCTGGGGAGGTGTGGGGTTTCTGAGTGCCCTCCCCATCTTCCCCAGGCTCTGGCCCGCTGCACACGCGTGTGTGGGCTGACGTGCTGCTCTGCGCCCGGGCGTTGACTCGGAGACCTGTTTATTTAAGCTGAGTGCTTGGCAGGGATTGTGTTCCCATGATAAACAGAGGAATTAAAGACCCTTAGCGATCCTAAAGACCTCTCTGCTAAATGAAAAAGCCTCCGTGTAAAATCCCTCGTGTCCTGTGAGCGTGGTACGCTCGGTGTGCTTATCACCGCCGGTTAATATTCATCCCAAGCGGCTCCGGTGCTTGCCTTGAGGCGAAGCATCCTTCAGCCGAATAGATAATAATCTGCTTTGTGCCAACCTGCAGCGGTATTCCGGTACCAATTAGCAACTCCCAGTTGGACGGGGAAGTAATGGGAGGAGGATTTGCTAAGCAAAGACCAAAAAGAGGGAACAGCCACAGGGGAAGCGATGCTGGAGTTGGAAAGGTTTGCGTCTCTCCTCCGTAAGTGAATTAACCCAGCGCTTGCAGTGGGACCGTAATTTTATAATGCAAAGCAGCTAATGGCATACTGGTCTCCACTGGAACTCAGCCTATTAAATATCAAAGGGTGCTGGAATAGCTGGATGTGGATATGCCCTTGTTAACCAGGAGACATCAGCCGGGGAAGGAGGGATTGAGCCCCTCAGGCAAGAAAAATAATGTTTGAAGTCCCCCAAGCTCACGGTTTTTCAGCAGAGTCTTGAGCACATTAAAATGGTTTCTTTTCCTGCTGGAGGAGAAAATGAGGCTGGAAACTGAAAGTGCTGGGAGGGGGGGAAAGACTGGCGGAGTGGGAAGGGGTGATATTCCTTGCCCTTCATTTGTCTCCCTGGATTTATTGTCTTTCTCGCGTTGCCCTCACTTAATTGTCTATCCTGAAAGACCTTGGATAAATCTTCCCTTTGGGGACTGTTGCTCTTGCTTGGAGTCTGCTTTGTCGGGTGGATGTTTCATTTTCTTTTATTTATAAATACGTCTCATTGCACGGTATTAAAGCACCAGGGTATTAAAGGAGCTCGGGGAGAGCTCCTTTCGCCTATTCAGATCTGCTCAGAAAATGCATTTGAAGCAGCATCAGCTTCAAAAAGCTGCCACCCCTCCGCAGGCGGGCGAGGAAGCGCAGTCCCTCCGGGCTGAGCTGCCTTGTCACCCTGGATCAGCCCTTTACAAGCAGCGAGAAGCGTTTCCCTTCGCTCACTGCTGGTTAAACTGGCCAAGGTGGCCCAGGACCCCCGGGCTGGGTTAGACCAAGCCCAGGCGTCGGGCTCCTCCTTAGCCAGATCCAGCAAGCGGGGAACCACCCCGCTTTCACTTTTGGTTTGAGCTCCCAGAAGAGTGGAGGAGTTGCCCAAATCCTGGGAAATCTGTGCCTGGGTCATTTTTCATGTTTTTCCATTCGGGTCAAGGGCCACGTTAAGCATCAACCGTGCTCCCATCTGTGCGTTCTGGGATTTGCTCCTTGCTCTGGCGTAGAGCAGGTTTGGAGCCCAGGAGTTTCCTCCAAAGGCCGCTCTCTTCCCCCACACGCCGGTGTAGCCTTTGCCGCGGCATCTGCAGGATGGACGGGCAGAGGAGGAGATATTTGGTCTTTGGTGGAGGAGCCGCTGTGGATGAGGGAGGCAGGACATCATCCCCCCAGATCCCAGGGCTGATCTCGTGCTCCAGGTGAGGGTGCAGGACCAGGCGGGGCTGGTCGGGGACACCCTGACTGCTGTGTAGGAGCAAGGGGTGGCATCACCTCACTGTCCCGAGCGGCTCTGCCGCCGGCCCCAGAGCCCAGCCCCGAGCAGGGAGAGCCACGGGGCGTCCAGCCATCCCCTTCCAGCTCCCCTCGCACGAGAGCATCCGCCACGAGGACGTGGCACAGGGGCAACTGGGGCTGCTCTTCATTTCACCAACAGAAAAGCCTTTTTCCAGCAAAAATTTCCACCTTTCCATCAAAGATGGAAGAAAACACCAAACCCGCCCCAGGGGGGAGCAGGCTCCTCTCCATCGCAGGAAGGCAGGTTCTCAGCCCTACTCGGGATTAGTTAAAATTAAAACAGAGATAAAATTACAGAGCCAGCCCTCACGAGCATTAAAATGTCTGCCGGTTTACGATCCCCGCGAGGAGACAGGCTCGCTCGCTCTCAGCTGCGTTCGCTTAGCCCAGAGGAATGCCTTTGAAACGAACCCGTATTTCATCGCCGAATGTCACGGGAAGGCACCTGGGATCTGAGGAGGAACGAAGGAGATGTGTTAACAAGACGGGCTTTGCATTTAATTTCCTTTTTATAGGGCTGTACCTGCACAGGGATGAGGGCGTTAATGCGGCGGAGGGAGGGAAGGGCCAAGCTTGGCTGGTCTGGTCCTCGCCAGCCCCGTGTCGGTCGGTCCCCCAGCGAGCCCTGGCGCAGGGCTGGCCTCCTCCGGAGGCTCCCGCAGCCCTTCGGCAGCCTTCAAAATCCTGCGGTGAGCTCGTTAATTGGCGTTAGAGCCTGCTGGTTTGGGATCGGCCGCGCCGTGAGGCCAGGGGAGATGATTAAGTTTGATACGAGCTGGGCTGAGCCGCT